AAAAAAAAAAAGAATTTTAAAATTTTCTAATACTACTAATTGAGGGTTTGTAAGCGTCGAATCTATCGTTATTGTAAGGTCCGTTTGAGGGCAACGATAAACCCATTCCCAAACCTGGAGGTACGGGTTGATTTTGATACAATGCGCTCGCTATGACGCTTCCTCCGGGAGCTCTACCCAGTAACATGTTGGATGCATTGCTGGCCCACCTTAAAATTTACAGTAATTACTTTATTTCCTTCTTCTTCTTCTTCTTCTTACACATTAAACAAACAAACAAACAAACCTATCGCTAGTTGTACTTTCAGATCGACCCCAAGAACTACTTTCGGCTTTCCTATCCGATGAACCCCAAGGATCTCTTGAACTCGGACCCGAAGGACCTCCCATGCTTCCGAACGAAGTACCGCCTTGTTGTCCCGAACTAGAATGCCAATCCCCGCTTCCCCTTTCTGCATCATATTATTAAAAAAAAAAAATATATATATATATAATTTCATCCCCTTTTTCAATCAAAAAAAAAAAAAAAACAATCAACGTGATCTTCTTACCCCTTCGTTCATCCCGACTTCTATATGTCGAACTCGATATGTCTCTATCTCTTTCACGTTCTCTATCTCGATCTCTGTCTCTGTCTCTTTCGAATCTGAAAACAAATTATATTTATTAATACAAACAACCATTTTGTTTTTCTTTTTGTTTGTTTGTACACGTGAAATTATATTTACCTTGCTTCTTTTCCACCGTGCGAAGTCGAAGAACTTTTCCTACTAAATTCATCCCCTCGACTTCTCGACGTGTTCGAATCCCGCCGTCGATCCGATTCAAATTCTTCTCGTCTCGATCTAAAAAAATAATAATAATAATTAAATAGTTACTTCTAATAGGTTGACTAACGCATCTCTAAAAGGTTGAGTAATGTTTTAATGGAGATTCAACCTTTCTCTTCTTCTATCTTCTTCGGTGAACCTCGGAGGTGGCGGCGCGTCGAAATGTCCCAAATTAATGGCGGCACGTTTGTCTGGATAATCTCTTCGATCGTCCGACGGTCTTTTTTTACTCGATCTCCTGGCTGCTTCTAACCTGTAACAAAAAAAAAAAAAAAAAAAAAAAAAAAGTGTTACCAACGTAAAATTTCTCTCATCGCTCGAATGTAAAATAAAAATTTTATAAAAATGACTAAACCTTTTCTGTTGCATCCGCAATTCTTCTTTTTCCCTTTCGATCCTTTCGCGTTCGAGCCTTTGACGCTCACGTTCCATTCTCAACAATTCACTTTTTTCACGTTCGATTTTCTCTCTTTCCAATCGCAATTTTTCTTTTTCCCTAAAAAAAACCAAATTATTATTATTATTATTATTACTATTACTCCCTAGTAACTCAATAATGATAAAATTTACCTTTCTATTCGAGCCGCTTCACTTTTTTGCCTTCTATCGATGTCTCTCTGACGCAAAGCCTCTTCCCTTCGCCTTTTGGCTTCTTCTCGAAGCCTTCGTTCTTTTTCTCTCAGCCTTTGACGCTCTCTTTCCTCCTGTCGCGCACAAGTAAAAAATTATTTTAATGCCTTTTTTTTATTTTTAATTTAAAAAAAAAAAAACTCATCGTTAAAGTTTGTAAACCTTGATTTGTGAAAAAGATAAAACTTCTTTTCTAGGGGAATGTCTCCTTCGGAATGGACTGTGACTGTGAATTGATCGATGACTCCCGTGTCCCCCACTACCACCACCACCGCCACCCCTATCATCTCTGGCATCGTCTCTCGACTTTGATTTTTCCCCCATCCCTCCTTTTTCATCTCTTTTATCGCTCCTATTCAACATCCTTCTATCGTCCGAAATCCCTTCTTTGCAATCCTCCATTAAACCATCTGATTTTTGCCTGGGTTTACCTGAACAAAAAATTTTTTTTTTATAATCAAAAGTAAAAACAAAAGATTAGCAGAAGATGAAAAAAGATAAGAGGATAAAAACCATTTTCGGTGGGTTTTTTATCGTCCCATTTTTTATCGAGTGATTTTTTTTCTTTCCCTATGGAATCGTTCCGACTACTATTTCGTCTACCGTCCGATCTACGTGATTCGCTGGTTTTTAACGGTCCTGTCGCATCTCCTTTTGCCTGAAAAAAAGACATGGGATAAAAAATCCTCATTTTTTTTTCCTTTTTTCCTTATTTTCAAACAAAAACATCAATTTACTTTTTCAACTGATATCATTCGACCGTGAAGTTCTATTCTGTGAAGGTGTTTGATGCATCTCATGGCGTCATCGCTGTTGGCCATCGTAACATATCCGTAGCAACGAGCACCGGGAGTGCGAGCGTTTGTCACTATTTTGGCTCCGATGACTTTTCCATGTTTTGAAAAAACTTGTTTGAGATCCGTTGCACGTGTAAGGGATGATAAATTGCTCACCCAAAGATTACGCGATTCAGAATTGAGAAATTCATTTTTCTTTTCTGTAAAAAAATATAAATATTCAGAGAGAAAACATATAGACAAACTGAGAGAATTTGTTTACAATCCGCCACCATCATCATCCCCCCATCCATACCTTACCTTTGTTTCCTTTGCCATCCTTTTTTTTTTTTTTTTTGGAGGATATTTCCCTGAAAAATAATAAAAAAAATTAAATCCCGTTTTACTCCAACAAATTTTAAACAATTTTTTTTTTTCGATCAGCATAAACAAAAAAAAAAAAAATAAGTGCAAAGGGTATCAAAAAAAAAATAATAATAATAAGCCTATTTTGAAAAAAAAAAAATGATATTGATAATGATAATAAACGCGAAAACCCTCCTAAATATTAAAAAAAAAAAAAAAAAAAAAAAACTTTATATACAATCGACCACGTCCTTTAAATATTTTTTTTTCCTTTTCATTCTTTTTGAAAACAAAAAAAAAAAAATTTTTTTTCTAATTTCAGGTACATATGTATGTATCCCAATAAATTAAAAACCGGAAACGCTAAAATTAAATTAAAGTCACGACAGTGTAAAAATAAGCATCATTCAAGTATTTGTTTGTGTGTAAGTGAATGAGTGAGTGAGTGAGAGTGTTTATGTGTCCATCGGCGTCGCTATATAATATCCTTCTTCTTAATAGGGAAAAAAACAATAATAATAATAATAATATTATTATTATTAACAGGAGATTTTTTTTCAAACCGAATGAAGGATCACATCACGCATATTTGCATTTTTCTTCATCTTTTCTTTTTATCTCCCATTCGTCGAGTGTGAAAAAAAATAAATTCTTTAAAAAACAACAACAACAACAACCACCCATGTATGGGAATGCGTGTACAAAAAAAATCCATATTTCTTCATTATTCATATTTCTTCTTATTTCTTCTTGATGAATGAATAGTAAAATAGAAGAATTTCACTTTTACTTTTAACATCTTCCGGAAAAACCCATTTTCTTGCTGTTGTTGTTGTTGTACTAGTGATGCTGTTTTATTAAATAAACACTGTCGTTACTTATTTAATTTTAGTAATATATAATAATAATAATATCATCCGAATGTGTGCTTGTGCTTATTTTATATAAAAATTAACGTATATATATATATATGTACAAATCGTAAAAAAAAAAAAAAAATAATAATAATAATAATTATTAACCCTTAACATATCCAATTAAGATAAATTTGACCTTTTTTATTATTATTATTATTATTATTCCATTTATTTGACGATATTTCACGATATGGTTACCCAAGAGTTGATTAAACTCTTATTTACATCGGATAGATAATAAGAAACTTATTTTTCTACCGTTTAAAGTATTTTGCAAATAGAACAAATATACTCAAATTAAATAAATAAATAAAAATGAGAGAAAAAAAAAAAAAAAGAAAAGTTATATAACTATTTTCTTCTAAATTTTAAATGTAATTTTAAATACGAGACACATTGTGTTACTGAGATACTTATATGGAGTACACAACACAGGTGTATACCACGTGTTTAAAGTTGACACGGCCTTGTAATGAAGGAGACTCTCGGAAGGAAACCGCCGGTTCTTGTTCAAATATAATATGAGGCTATTTTTGACGTAATCATCCCTAGCGAGGCGATAGCGAGATGTTTCGGAAGAAAAAGATCCAATCGTATCTTCTTCATCTATCATGAATTCATCATCATCATCATCATCATCATCATCATCCAGTCATTTCATCCAGAAATTTTTTTTTTTTTTTTTTTTGTTTTTGCTGTGGCGATGCATCACATGACAAAAAAAACCTATGGCGTCCAGAAAAAGAAGCTATTCGGCAGTAAAATGGGATAGGGAAGTAAGAAACCAACCTCTTCATCTTGTCTTCTTTACTCGTATCTCTCGCGTCATTAACTACTTGTTCTTCTTCTTTAATACCACAATCTCCTCCTCCTCCTCCTCCTCCTTCTTTCGGCGTTGTTTTTTCATCACTTTCGTTGATCATGTTTTCTTCACACTTATCTGAATCTTCTGTTGATTTTTCTTTTCCTTCATCTACTGTAATAACGAATGATATTCATTGTTAAAAGATTGTGACACACATAACGTCCTGCGGAAAACCAATAGTTGAATTTTTTTTTTTCTCCCCCTCTCTCTCTCTCTCTCTCTCTCCCTATCGTGATTGTCAGTTAAAAAACAATTATAAAAGCTCCCTTAAAAAAAATTCTGAAAAAAAAAAAAAAGAACTCGAATCGACTTCAATAGTCGGCTGCGTCATATATCACAGGACAACATCTAATAATATATATGCACAACAATCCCACCCCTATTTTTAACACTGAAAACTCAAAAATTAACGATATCCGTTAAGTTTGACTCTTCTTCTTCGAATGTAGGCATCAATATATATAAACCCTTTAAGGCGTTAGTTAACCATTTAAACATATTAAAGAAAATTTTTTTTTTTTTTTTTGTAAATGATTGTTAGACTAATTTATGTAAATGTAACGGAATCTTCAACCCTCTCTCTCTCTGGTCTGGTATTCATTGTGAGACAAAATGCAGCTGTGGATGAATAGTCAACTCAATCCGGTATCCATTTTTCCATGAGATTACAAGTCGTAAAGATTTCATCGAAACAATATATATATATATCCAAATAAGAATCGATTTCACCCAAAAAAATTTTTTTTTTTTCTTGGAATCTTACACTTTTTCTTATATTAAATCTAACATGCTATTAATTAAATTTATCCAGATTACCTTACCTTTTTGGTCAAATTTGACTTGTTCTTCCTGTGAAAAAAAAAACAAAATTATGCATATGAGTATATCGTTGTGACTTTCAATAATCGTACAACATAATTAAAAATTACTTCATCTTCTGCCAATAGTTTTTCTTCATCTGCTATATCCAAATTAATAGAATCATCATTATCTAATCCGCAAGTATCGGGTCCTTTTTCATAAGACATTTTCTTGACTTGTATATGAGTAGAATTTTCCGTTGTACTCGTAACTAATGAAGAAATATCATTTCCAATTGAAGTTCCAATACTTTTTTCATTATCTTCATTTATTTCTGAACATCTCTGAAATAAATAATTTAATAAATTTTTTAATATACAAAAAAGTAGCTAACTTAAAATTCAATTTAATAATTAATTTAAAATATCGAATTAAAAATAATTTTCATTTAAAAAATAGTTTTCCAAGTTTAAATTATTTTAAACTAACTGTATCGCGACCACAATCAACATGTAAATTAAAACTAAGCAAAGCATTTTTTAAAAAAAATTTTTGTTAAATATCAATTATCTTCAATTAAATGATAAAATGTTATTTTTGACAATGACAAAATAATTTTTTAAAATTATTTTCATTGAAGAAAATTACAAAGAAGAAATAAACATGTAAATACAGTAAAATTAAACTTACACTGTAAAATATATTAAAACTTTCAAAATGATTTTCTTACGATGAATATATAACAAATAGTAATGCGACATAAATGTTTTCGTTTTATTGAATAAAATTTCATTTTTAAAAGTAATTTAAGAATTAAATTTTAATTATTATTTCCTTCTTAAATTCATTTTTTTTAAAAAATCAAAAACATTTAATGGTGATTACCTTGTCGGGTAAAGAAGAAGCAATTTCATTTATTTCAGAAATATCTTCTTCTCCGAGTTCATCGGTAACAATCATACTATCAGCTCCTTCATTAGCATCCTTTTCTGAATTATCATCAAAAACATGAGATTCATCTAAACTTTTATCTCCATCAGATTCTATATTAAAATATAAAAAAGAATAAACAGTTATTAAAAAAAATGTTTCACGTTAAATATCAAGAGCGAATAATAAAAAAAAAAAAAATAATAATAATACTTACTTGAACACCTTTTAGTTTTATTTGATACTTCGAAAACGTATACTTCTGGATCTAAACCTTCATTCTGCATTGCCTAAATAAATAAAAAAAACAATTTAAATAATTAGAAAAAATAAAATTGAAGGAAATTCTACATAAAACTATCGGTAAAATAATATTTAAAATAAAACAATAAAATTTACAAATGATTATTATTATTTTAAATTTAACTAAATCTTAATAAAACAATTTAATGGATTTAATAAATAAATAAATGCGATTCTTTTTTTCTTTTAATAAAGAAACAAGGTTATTTCACTTGCCCAAACGGCGGTGGCGGCATAATATATAAAACCTGCACCGTCAGGAAAAATAGGCTTGGAATTAAACTAACAGTAACTGCAAACATATAAATGCTTAAGTATAAAAAAAAAATTTTTTTGTTTAAGGGCGTTACCTTTAAAAGTCTTTCAAGCAGGACGGCTTTAACACCGTTTTTTTCAAGACCACGTTTTTCTAATTCTAATTTTAAATCTATAACTCTAAGATCGTTTATCTTTTTTAATTCAATGTCTGACGACATTTTTTTATTCACAAATACGTTCAAAATGGCGAACAAAGAAAAAGTTGCAACAGGAAATAAACCACCGCCCTCTATAACTCATATTTTAATGTATATAGTTCGCGTAACGGCAAATTAACTTTTTTACATAACATTATGTTTACTTAAAATTCCCAATTTTTCCTCTAAAATAAATCTATAAATCTAAATGTATTTTATTTAAGTTCCAAACACATAATTTAATATTCCAAAAAATATAAAATGGCACATCATATTGCTCATTTTTGCAAATTTTTAAATCAAAAATACTGCTAAACCCTTAAACCATTAGCCTGACTTTTACATTTAAAAAAAAATTAATAATTATAAAATTTACCTTTAAATATTCCTTATGAAAATTCTTTTGAACCGTTACATAAAATTCTAACCGTACAAAATATTTTCAAAAAAAAAAAAAAACCGGTTACTATAATTAAAACGTTTACTATTTTGTT